AATATTCGTTCTAAAAATGTGCTTTTTTGTGTTTTTTGTTGCTTTGTAACCACTGCTGTATCATTCCCTTCTTTATCAAGTTTGAACGTCTTAATCAGTAGTGTCTTATTGGTTTTGTCGCGTAATACATTTATTGGTGTTCTTGTTTGCTGACTTAAACTTTTGTCAGTTTTCACACTTGATATTTGGAAATCTACTGGCGTTCTCTTCAGTTTGCTAATACTTTTGATATTTTTCATACTTGTTGATGTCTTGAAAGGCACCACATTTTTCTTGTCAACAATAACCGTCTGACGCGACATTATTTCGAAAAATATTGTAAAAATTTTTTGCTTTACCTAGAGCTTGTACCCGCTAGGGGTCTGCAACCCAGGCTCGTGCCTATGCCCAGCAAAAATTCAGGTATGGGCATAGACATGAAAGCTTTGGCATGGGCATAAACACTAGTATAAAAATTTGGTATAGGCATGGGCACAGGCACAAAAATTTGGCATAGGCATGGGCACAGGCACGAAAACTTGGCATGGGCATGGGCACAAAAATTTAGTATTTATTAATTAATTATATGTTTGGTACTATTTGGTACTTGTGCCTGGCACTTTTTGGCATCTTGTTGCCTAGCATATTGTGCCTATGCCTATAAAGTACCTGGCATTTGTGCTCATGATTATAAAAATGCCTGGTATTTGTGCCCATGCCCATAATAATTCCTGACACTTTTTAGCCTATAGGTATGGGCATGGCATGAGGCACTAGTGTCTGGCATAGTGCCAATTTGCCTGGCATAGGCATTTGCGGAGCCCTAGTACCCGCCTAAAATTTATGCTCCGGTTTACTCACAGTATTAACCGGGTCACAACCTGGTTACTTCAAATGATTCGAGGTAACTGGTTGACCCGTTAATTTATGTTATTTATGTCGATGTAAGTTCTTTTTCGTAAACTTCCGGAATACTTTTCTGAAAATTTTATGACCTTGCAACAGAAGAACAGTAGTGACCGTCCCAAATAAGAGGGATGGCTAAAGCCATGTACCTTAGGGTTAGTTTTTTTGATACATTTAATAGTTTTATTTATATAGATATCAAGAACAGAATTTATGCAATATTTAGATTTATATGTAAAGGTACATGGCTTTAGACGACTCCTAAATAAGGAAATTTCTTGCATATCTTTTTATCCAATCAAAACGAATATTGATGTAATTTCACATGACAATTAGCCAATAAAATCGTAAATTTTAAAATTAAAAAATAAGAAAAAGGGTTTTATAATTTGATGCATCTGCACTGCAATGCATCCCTTTCACGTGACTATAATATATCATATATTAATATATGTTTTAATCAAATTATAGCTTTATTTTAAAACATATGGATATTAACTATTTTAACAATACAACTAAGCAATCGCATTGAAATTGAAAATAGTACTGTATTTAAACCAGCAAAAAAATTTTGCAGATTACGTGACTTATGTTTACAGGATTTTCTAATATGCATACTGATTCGATATCAATATATCACATTATGGTTAATTAAAGTTTCTGATACAAGTTCAATGTTATCTTTGACGTTATTTATATTTCAAGAATGCAAGTAATCCATTATCCTTTGCTTCGCAAAGGATAGTATATGCTTTCACTACAGCTGTCGCCTCCGTTACAGCATTTTTTTATACTAAAATCTCAATAAATAAATGACTCATAGTTGTCTCGCTCTAACCCTAAATTTAAACAAAAGACTTGAACTAACAATTAGAAAATGTAAATTACAATGTAAATTACATTGTCACGTTAGTTATAACTATACTGTCACTGAAACAAAAATGCATTCATAAAGATGTTAAAACAATTATTCTTTATGCTATTACTAGTTACAATATAAACCTCAACTAGAATAGCATAAAAAGCAATAGTTCTGTCACCTCTCTAGTTAGTCAAGTAAACTGCAATCAAATATAAATGATACATAATTAGCTATAATACTAACAGTTAATGCTAAATACAGAAATAACGCACACTAAATCACTATTAGCTATTCTAATCCTTCTTATCAGTAACCCTTTTAGAACACATAGCGATGTTATATCCTGATTCTTTACAGTAACTGCAAATATTTGGACCACGATCACGCTTTCTTTTACCTTTATATACTAACTGTTGGTTTGTATTATTTTTATTATGACTAGTTGATTTTGGTCTGCCTTTGGTATTAACAACCAATGGATTTTTAAGTTGAACAGTTAGGCATGTATTCTCTTCATCAGAATCATCACTTACATCCGCTTAACGTATTTTAGCAAGTTCCTCTTCACGTTTATGCACATCATCCAAATAATTTTCAATCAACTGAATAAACCTATGGTCACGATGTAACAGGCATTTATCGGTTGCAGTACGTATTAAGCCCCACACTTTCCCGTAAAATAGTTGTTCTTCTACTAAATCATTATTTATATCTTTTTTACTATTCATACTACTAAATTGCTGAGGCAATTCAAAAAACTCATCACTATAAGTTATTTGATTATCGTCACAAACCGTTGTCCATAATAGTCTCGCTCATTTAGTGCATCATTAAGATATTTTCTTGGAATCCATCGAATGTTAATTAATTTCATACTGAAGCATGCTACTCTCATAATATTTAAAAGATGAAAATAATACCTGCACACGAGCCCTAATTTTTGTCGCAGTAAGCAGGTGCAACTATACGATCTATTGAAAAGGCAAAAAATCATATGATTGACATTGCGTCCAGTAATCTGAAAATTTTTCCAAACTTCTTCAATATTAGCTTTATCCAATTGATTTAAAAGAAATTGTGCGCACACAAGAACACTATCTGGCTCATCTTCAAAACTTTCGCTTTTAGATAGCTCATCTGCTAGTGTATTCTCAACTTCTTCAATGCTAGAACGGTATGCAGTATAATAAACACATTCCTTCATTTGGTTGATTATATGTTGTGCAACATTTTGGCACAGGTAATGTAAAACAATTGCCTCTATTGGAGGAAAAATTGTTACGTATTTCGTAGTCAAAGGAACGTCTCTTACTAAATTTTCGTATTTTTTCTGGTTTATCCTATTTTCAGCTTGGTCTATAAGAATTTTACTGAGCTCATAAAGAGACGTATTACTACTCTCAAGAACACGCTTAATGCATGTGTTTTGACTCTCTACGAAGGAAGTAGACTTAATCCCAAGAGTAAACAATGTTGCTGTGAATCCTCGTGCCTAAGACCTACGTCTTTCATATAAGTACCTTTCAAGATATTGCTTCGCCAATGGATACTTACTAATCATTTCGTTCCAATAATAATCAAAACTTTCAGGTATATCACTATTTCGATACTTCCAGAATGCAGAGTAAAAATTATCAAATTCCACACCCAATTTTCCACAGAGCATCTTTTTAAGATTCTCTTTAATATGCTATATACAAAAAAGGTGCCGAGTAGTTGGACATTCAATCAAAACAGCGCGTTCTATAGCAGGGTCACCATCAGTGATAATTATACCAGGCATTTTTTTTCTTGTTGCTTTCTTTAACATACGTAGCGTCCATTGATATAATTCAGTAGTCTCATCGCTTAGAAGGGCTTGTGTGACTATTTAAGACTTCATATCGTCATCACGAGCTACAAAGAGAGACAATGGCATACGGTAACGATTTGTTCCTGATGTGTTATCATGACCTATAGATTCACTAAACTTATGCTATAAAATTATTTGGTTCGAGCTCATCCAAAATATGCTAGTAAGTGTACTTGTTTCAACTTCCCATGTTACTTCTACAAACCAACGAGGATCTTGACGTTGTTTGGTGAGTAATTCTTCATAGAATCTTGCTACATCGCCCTGATTAAATTGCGCTGTTGGTTTGTATTTTTGAATTTCCTTGTATAGATTCTTGGAAAAGACTGGGTGGAAAGAATACTTCTGCTTAAGGATCTGCTGAATTAATATTACACCAAAATGACACTGCCTAACATAAAATTTGATATCATCTCTCATCTCTTTTGTAAACACCTTATCCCTTTCGAACTGAAGCGCTTCTGGATACATTTCGTGATTATGTTCATTATTCAGTGTTGTTATGTAGACATAATTATTTGAATTTTGATTTGATGGTCGCGAGAGATTAACATGCCATAGACATTCTAATTTAATCGATTTTCCTGATTTTGTAGAGTTTTTTGATTGATATCGACCTGAATGGCGGCAGAGAATCATTCTTTTTCACATAATTTTCCCATTTTCTGTTTCAATTATAGTACTCCGGCCCAACTTTGTCTTGAATCCTTTGAACTCGGCATAACCTCTTATCTGTTGTTCTGCATCGTCAAAATTGAAAAATGATTTCCCTTCTTTTAACGTAATCATTTCAGCATCCATATTTATATCCTCCACGTCTACAATATCTACACTACCATGATACGCTTCTTCATAATAATCTACCACATTAATTTCACTATTATCTATGCCATTATATTCATTAGTTTCACTATCATCTGCAGCATTATTTGTGTTGATTTCGTTGGTTTTACTATTCTTTATGGTATTACTTGCATCGATTTCATTATTTTCTACCATATTATTTTCGTTCTAATTGTTGTTCACGATTTCTTCTATACTAACACATTTCTTTATTTGTTTATAGTTTTGAGAAAAGAAAACTGAATCTGTGGTGGTGTTATTGGTATTTACAGTATCGTTTGCATTAATTTCAATTTGATAATTTATACTATAGTTTGCTCTTGTAATGGGTTCTATTTTATTTGAAAAAGAGAAACATCATAATAAACATCGCTTTATTTATTTTATATATACAGTATGTGTGTATTATAAATTACTGATGTAATCATTGATTTAATTTTTATTACTGTTTATCACTTTATAATACCGATGCACTGAGTGCACTATACAACAAATTATAAAACCCTAAGAAAAATATGGTAAGCAAAATTAAAATAAAAATTTATATTTAAAGTTTAAAGATAAGTTTTAATAAATACTACTATGAAGCAAATTAACAAATATTTATTAGTTCGAACTATTTATTGACTAAATTTACAAACTATTTAACTAATACAATTATTACAATATTGTTACAAGTGTTAGTTTTTTTAATACAATACAAATAACATAAGATATAGAAAAGAAGCTTTTAATGATATTCGAATGAAATATTATTTCATTGTGGTAGTTTGTTATAAAGTTAATAAAAAAGCAAAGATTATATTTTATTTAAAATACAATATCAATAATACAAAACTATCTATTAGTTTCTATATTAA